CCCCCGGGTCTCACCATCCTCATCCTCACCAGCCCGTGGTGGCAGGGCCGGTGACGTCCCCCCCCTGTCCCTTTGCCGTTGGGTGACATTCCTGGCGCTTCATTAATAAGGGATTATGTAAAATAGGATTAATAATGCAGGGACCTGCCAGTTTAATCACCTGTGCTTTGCCGAAGAGGGGTATGGGGGGGGTTACCCCGGTTGGCAACTGGGGAAACTGGGTCCTCTGATGGTCCCTGGGTCCCCATCCCTGATGGCTCTTCCTCTGTCCATCCCCATGTCCCCATCCTTGATGGCTCTTCTCCTGCTTGTCCCTATGTCCCCATCCCTGATGGCTCTTCCCCTGCTGGTCCCCATGTCCCCAACCCCGATGGCTCTGCCCCTGGTGGTCCCCATGTCCCCATCCCTGATGGCTCTTCCCCTGCTGGTCCCCATGTCCCCAACCCCGATGGCTCTGCCCCTGGTGGTCCCCATGTCCCCATCCCTGATGGCTCTTCCTCTGTCCATCTCCATGTCCCCATCCCTGGTGGTTCTTCCCCTGCCTGATCCCATGGAGCTCCTTCCTATGTCCCCATCCCTGCTGGCTCTTACTCTTCTTGTCCCCATGTCACCATCCCTGATGGCTCTTCCCCTGGTGGTCCCCATGTCCCTATCCCTGAAGACTCTTCCCCTGCTTGTCCCCATGTCCCCATCCCTGATGGCTCTTCCCCTGGTGGTCCCCATGTCCCCATCCCTGATGGCTCTGCCCCTGCCTGGCCCCATGGAGCTTGTCCCCGTGTCCCCATCCCTGATGGCTCTTCCCCTACTTGTCCCCATGTCCCCATCCCTGATGGCTCTTCCTCTGCTTGTCCCCATGTCACCATCCCTAATGGCTCTTCCTCTCTTCATACCCATGTCCCCATCCCTGCTGGCTCTGCCCCTGCTGGTCCCCATGTCCCCATCCCTTATGACTCTTGCCCTGCTCATTCCTGTGTCCCCATCTCTGGTGGCTCTTCCCCTGCTGGTCCCCATGTCCCCATCCCTGCTGGCTCTTCCTCTGCTTGTCCCCATGTCCCCATTCCTGCTGGTTCTTCACCTTCTCCTCCCCATGTCCCCATCCCTTATGGCTCTGCCCATGCTTGTCCCCATCCCTGATGGCTCTTCCCCTACTTGTCCCCATGTCCCCATCTCTGATGGCTCTACCCCTGCCTGGCCCCATGGAGCTTGTCCCCATGTCCCCATCCCTGATGGCTCTTCCTCTGTCCATCCCCATGTCCCCATCCCTGATGGCTCTTCCTCTGTCCATCCCCATGTCCCCATCCATGATGGCTCTTCCTCTGTCCATCCCCATGTCCCCATCCTTGATGGCTCTTACCCTGGTGATCCCCATGTCCCCATCCCTGATGGCTCTGCCCCTGCTGGTCCCTGTGTCCCCATCCCTGATGGCTCTTCCCCTTCTGGTCCCCATGTCCCCATCCCTGATGACTCTTCCTTTGTTCGTCCCCCTGTCCCCATCCCTGATGGCTCTTCCTTTGTTCGTCCCCCTGTCCCCATCCCTGATGGCTCTTCCCCTGCTTGTCCCCGTGCCTCCATCCCTGGTGGCCCCAGGGCTCTCCCAGCCTCTCCGTGCCCCCAGTGCCAGGGAGGTGCCACCGTGGGGACCCTCCTGCATCCCAGGAGCTGCTCACATCCCACCTGGTCTCCGGTGGCCCCTTTTCTCCCCCAAACCCCTTCTTTCTGGAGCCATCCCCAGCGATGGCAGGCGGGTGACCGCTACCCTGGCTCAGGCACCTCATCCTCCTCTTCCTCCCGCAGGCATCGAGTGTCCCCGGGGAGCACGGAACCTGCCGGGGCTGGTGCAGGAGGGAGAGCCCTTCAGCGAGGAGGCCACGCTCTTCACCAAGGAGCTGGTGCTGCAGCGGGAGGTAGGGGACGTGCGGCTGCCTCAGGGGGACGGGGGGGACGGGGGGGACAGGGGGGGACGGGACGGGGCCACCGTCACACAGCGGGGGGCACCGGGAGCGTCTGGGGCCGGTCTGTAAATCGCCGAGGTCTGGGGTTTGCTCTGGCTCTAAATGTCCCCTCACTGCAGGGGGAAAGGCTTCTCCTGCCAGGGGATGGCTCTTCTCTTTTCTTTTCTTTTCTTTTCTTTTCTTTTCTTTTCTTTTCTTTTCTTTTCTTTTCTTTTCTTTTCTAAGGGCTGCCAAGATGGTGAGGGGCCTAGAGCATCTCTGTGCTGAGGAAAGGCTGAGGGACTTGGGTGTGTTTAGTGTGGAGAAGAGCAGAGGGAGGGGGGATCTGCTCAAGGCCTGGCAATCCTTCCAGGGTGGGTGTCAGGAGGATGGGGCCAGGCTTTTCCCAGTGGTGCCCAGGGCCAGGCCAAGAGGGAACGGGCACCAACTGGAGCAGGGGAAGCTCCATGGGAACACCATGAGGAGGCCGTTGTTTGGTGTGAGGGTGGCAGAGGCCTGGCAGAGGCTGCCCAGAGAGGTGGTGGAGTCTCCTTCTCTGGAGACATTGCAACCCCCCTGGAGACGTTGCTGTGGGAGCTGCTGTGGGTGCCCCTGCTCTGGCAGGGGGTTGGCCTGGGTGCTCTCCAGAGGTCCCTGCCAACCCCACATCACTCTGGGGTTGTGTGACAGACCCGTGGTGGGGGATGCTCAGCAGATATGGGCGGATGCACAGCGGGTGTGTGGTGGCTGCGCGGTGGGTTGGTGGTGGAGGCGTGATGGATGCTCAGCAGATGCAGGGTGGACACAGAGCAGAAGCGCAGCAGATGCAGGGGGGTGTGTGGCAGATGCATGAGGGATGCTCACAGGATGCTCACAGGATGCAGGGGGGATGCAGGGGGGATGGTGTGTGGCAGATGCCCAGGGATGCAGGGGGGAGGTGGTGGAGGATGCGCAGGAGATGTGGGGCAGATGCGTGGTGGGTGCTCAGCAGATGTAGGGCAGGTGCACAGCAGAAGCAGAGCAGATGGTCAGGGGATGCAGGATGGATGCCCAGGGGAGGGATGGTCAGGGAATGCAGGATGGATGCCCAGGGGATGCCCAGGAGATGGATGGCCAGAGGATGCAGGATGGATGCCCAGGGGATGGTCAGAGGATGCAGGATGGATGCCCAGGGGAGGGATGGTCAGAGGATGCAGGATGGATGCCCAGAGGATGGTCAGGGGATGCAGGATGGATGCCCAGGGGACGGTCAGGAGATGGTCAGAGGATGCAGGATGGATGCCCAGGGGATGGTCAGAGGATGCAGGATGGATGCCCAGGGAATGGATGGCCAGGGGATGCAGGATGGATGCCCAGGGGATGGTCAGAGGATGCAGGATGGATGCCCAGGGGAGGGATGGCCAGGGGATGCAGGATGGATGCCCAGGGGATGGTCAGAGGATGCAGGATGGATGCCCAGGGGATGGTCAAGGGATGGATGGTCAGAGGATGCAGGATGGATGCCCAGGGAATGGATGGCCAGGGGATGCAGGATGGATGCCCAGGGGATGGTCAGAGGATGCAGGATGGATGCCCAGGGGAGGGATGGTCAGGGGATGCAGGATGGATGCCCAGGGGATGGTCAGGGGATGGTCAGAGGGTGCAGGATGGATGCCCATGGGATGGTCAGAGGATGCAGGGGGGATGTGTGGCAGATGCCCAGGGATGCAGGGAGGATGCCCAGGGATGCAGGGGGGATGCCCAGGGATGCAGGGGGGATGCTCAGAGGATTCAGGGGGGATCTGTGGCAGATGCCCAGGGGATGCAGGGAGGATGTGGCAGATACACAGGGGATGTGGGGGTAGATGCAGGGTGGATGCACAGCAGAAGCAGGATGGATGCTCAGGGATGCACAGGGATGCACAGGGATGCAGGGAGGATGCACAGGGATGCAGGGAGGATGCACAGGGATGCACAGGGATGCAGGGTGGATGCTCAGAGGATGCCCAGGGCATGCAGGGTGGATGCACAGGGATGCACAGGATGCAGGGAGGATGCACAGGGATGCAGGGAGGATGCACAGGGATGCACAGGGATGCAGGGTGGATGCTCAGAGGATGCCCAGGGCATGCAGGGTGGATGCACAGGGATGCACAGGGATGCAGAGAGGATGCACAGGATGCAGGGAGGATGCCCAGGATGCAGGGAGGATGCACAGCGATGCAGGGTGGATGCTCAGAGGATGCCCAGGGGACGCAGGGTGGATGCACAGGGTGCAGGGTGATGCTCAGGGATGCACAGGGATGCAGGGAGGATGCCCAGGGATGCACAGGGATGCAGGGTGATGCTCAGGGATGCAGGGTGGATGCTCAGGGATGCACAGGGATGCAGGGAGGATGCACAGAGGGTGCAGGGTGGATGCACAGGGATGCAGGGTGATGCACAGGGATGCAGAGAGGATGCAGGGTGAATGCTCAGAGGATGCCCAGGGGACGCAGGGTGGATGCACAGGAGGTGTGTGAGATGCACAGCAGCAGCAGAGCAGGCGCAGGGTGATGGCCAGGGATGTGTGGGTTGCACAGCAGATGAGCAGGGATGCAGGGTGATGCACAGGGATGCAGAGGAGGTGCAGGGTGATGCTCAGAGGATGAAGGGTGATACCCAGGGGGATGCAGGATGGATGCTCAGAGGATGCAGGATGGTACCCAGGGATGCAGGGTGATACCCAGGGATGCAGGGTGATGCACAAGGATGCAGGATGGATGCTCAGGGATTCAGGGTGATACCCAGGGATGCAGGGTGATACCCAGGGGTTGCAGAATGGATGCTCAGATGATGCAGGGCGATGCACAGGGATGCAGGGTGATGCTCAGAGGATGCAGGGTGATGCTCAGAGGATGCAGGGTGATGCTCAGATGATGCAGGGCGATGCACAGGGATGCAGGGTGATGCTCAGAGGATGCAGGGTGATGCCCAGGGGATGCAGGATGGATGCTTAGGGTATGCAGGGTGATGCACAGGGATGCAGGATGGATGCTTAGGGGATGCAGGGTGATACCCAGGGATGGAGGGTGATGCACAGGGATGCAGGGTGATGCTCAGAGGATGCAGGATGATACCCAGGGATACAGGATGATTCCCAGGGATGCAGAATGATACCCAGGGATGCAGGGTGATGTTCAGAGGATGCAGGATGATGCACAGGGATGCAGGGTGATACTGAGGGATGCAGAGTGATGCCCGGGGGATGCAGGGTGATACCCAGAGATGCAGGATGATACCCAGGGATGCAGAGTGATGCACAGGGATGCAGGATGGATGCTTAGGGGATGCAGGGTGATGCTCAGGGATGCAGAGTGATACCCAGAGATGCAGGGTGATGAACAGAGGATGCAGGGTGATGCTCAGGGATGGAGGATGATACCCAGGGATGCAGGGTGATGCACAGAGGATGCAGGGTGATACTCAGAGGATGCAGGGCGATGCCCAGGGATGCAGGGTGATGCACAGGGATGGAGGATGATGCCCAGGGATGCAGGGTGATGCTCAGAGGATGCAGGATGATACCCGGGGATGCAGGGTGATGCTCAGAGAATGCAGGGAGTGCCCAGGGATGCAGGATGGATGCTCAGAGGATGCAGGGCGATGCACAGGGATGCAGGGTGATGCACAGTGATGCAGGGCGATGCTCAGAGGATGCAGGGTGATGCCCAGGGGTTGCAGAAGGGATGCTCAGAGGATGTAGGGTGATGCAGGGGAGATGCAGGGTGATGCTCAGAGGATGCAGGATGGATGCTTAGGGGATGCAGGGTGATGCCCAGGGATGCAGGGTGATGCCAAGGGGATGCAGGGTGATGCACAGGGATGCAGGGTGATACCCAGGGATGGAGGGTGATGTTCAGAGGATGCAGGATGATGCACAGGGATGCAGGGTGATACCCAGGGATGCAGGATGATACCCAGGGATGCAGGGTGATGTTCAGAGGATGCAGGATGATGCCCAGGGATGCAGGGTGATACTGAGGGATGCAGAGTGATGCCCGGGGGATGCAGGGTGATGCTCAGAGGATGCAGGATGGTACCCAGGGATGCAGGGTGATGCCTGGGGGATGCAGGATGGATGCTTAGGGGATGCAGGGTGATGCTCAGGGATGGAGGGTGATGCACAGGGATGCAGGATGGATGCTTAGGGGATGCAGGGTGATGCTCAGGGATGGAGGGTGATGCACAAGGATGCAGGATGGATGCTTAGGGGATGCAGGGTGATGCTCAGAGGATGCAGGATGATACCCAGGGATGCAGGATGAATGCTTAGGGGATGCAGGATGATACCCAGGGATGCAGGGTGATGTTCAGAGGATGCAGGATGATGCACAGGGATGGAGGATGATACCCAAGGATGCAGAGTGATGCACAGGGATGCAGGATGGATGGTCAGGGGCGCAGGATGGATGCTTAGGGGATGCAGGGTGATGCCAAGGGGATGCAGGATGGATGCCCAGGGATGCAGGGTGATGCTCAGGGATGCAGGATGATTCCCAGGGACGCAGGATGATACCCAGGGATGCAGGATGAATGCTTAGGGGATGCAGGGTGATGCTCAGGGGATACAGGGTGATACCCAGGGATGCAGGGTGATGCACAGGCATGCAGGATGATACCCAGGGATGCAGGGCGATGCCCAGGGATGCAGGGTGATGAACAGAGGATGCAGGGCGATACTCAGAGGATGCAGGATGGTACCCAGGGATGCAGGATGATGCTCAGGGATGCAGGATGGATGCTCAGGGCTGCAGGATGGATGCTTAGGGGATGCAGGGTGATTCCCAGGGATGCAGGATGATACCCAGGGATGCAGGTTGATGCACAGGGATGCAGGATGATACCCAAGGATGCAGAGCGATGCCCAGGGATGCAGGGTGATGAACAGAGGATGCAGGGCGATACTCAGAGGATGCAGGATGGTACCCAGGGATGCAGGATGATGCTCAGGG